TTATGCTAAAAGTAGATAACTATTAATGCGGCACACAGAATAATTTTTTTCTCATAAAAGCCTTTTAAAAATATTTACATTTTTATTATATTGCGGTTGCACAAATAGAATGTAAAATTAGTTGTATAGTGTAATTAGTTGTATATTAGGAAGTATCGGTCTTAAAATTTTATCTTATTTTAGTAGATCCTAAAGATATCTGGGCAGCAAGAACGATAACAAGATTCTAACGAACTTCTGCTGACGCGCTTAACCCGAATAATCGAGCTAGCCGACCGAGACAACCAAAATAAATATGTTTTTCGTAGTCATACATAATATTTTATTTATTTTCTCTATCACTTTGGCCCATACCTTGAGGAGAGTTTCTCCTTCGGCGAACTCCACATGGCAAATTATGACGCGTCCACCTTTTCCAACGGGCACGTGTCGTCTGTGTCTTCGGCAGTGTGGTATTTTTAATACCTCATAAAAATGTTATTCTTTGTATTCTTGTCTCTAAATAATTCTTGTCTTAAAAAAATATTTTGTGTTCGTCTTTTTCTTTTATCAGAAGCCAATTCCTATTCAAACGTTTCTCAATGGCTCTATACTACCATTGTATGAGCCGGTATCAACTAAACTTCCTCGCAACTTCACCACAGTGGGATTCACGAAAATTATAAAAATATTTCAAAATAATACATAAACATATACATAAACACTCACGCCTGTCACCCAGAGGGGTAGGCAGAGACTACAGACTTCCATTTGGCACGATCCTGACACACCTCTCTCGCCTCCTTCACATCCATACACCTCCGCATACATGCTCGTCGGTTAAGGGTACTCCTAATTTGGCCCGTTTTCAATAAATCGCCAATTTGGTCGATAAATTTTCGCCTAGGACGTCCCTTTCCGACTCTGCCATTCACTTCTGCAACATAAATTTTCTTTGTCACTCTTTCCTCATTCATTCTTTCCACATGACCAAACCACCGAAGCATTCCTTTCTTAATCCTGGTCACAACATCATCTTGCAAACCACACTCTTCTCTTATTACACAATTTCTTACCCTGTCATTAAGATTCAGCCCTAACATACTCCTTAACGACCGCATTTCTACTGCGTTCATTCTACTCTCGTGCTTCTTCTGCCACACCCAACTTTCACTACCATATGTTAAAGTAGGGACCAACACAGCATTGTGAATTGCCATACGTGCCTTTTTCGACACATTTTGACTCTTCACAATAGAGTGCAGGGCCCCATTTACTCTATTTCCCGCATTCACTCGTCGTTCTATATCCTTATCATATCTCCCATCCCTGCTAAATACGCAGCCCAAATATACAAACTCATCTACTTGCTCGATCAACTCCCCTTCTATTCTTATTTCACAAATCGTTTTACTTTCTTCTCTTTCAAAAACCATAACCTTCGTCTTACTTGCGTTCACTTTCATACCCCTTTCTTTTAATGATCTGTTCATTAATGTAACCATCATTTGCAACTCGGCCGCCGACGACGCAAGTATAACTTGATCATCGGCGTACAAAAGGCATTTGACGGTTAACTCACCCATTCTTAATCCGCATTCTTCAACTTTCAAATTTTGCAAACAACTGTCCATAAATAGGTTGAACAGCCACGGGGAAGCTACACAGCCCTGTCTGACACCTTTATGGATGTCAAACCAGTCCGAGTAGACCCCGTTGATCCTAACACAAGCACTAGAGTCCCTATAAAGGGACTCCAATGCCCGTATCAAGCCAGCGCTCAACCCAAATGAATTCAGTGTTTGCCATAGCACATCCCTATTCACTCTGTCATAGGCCTTTTCCAAGTCCATGAACGCACAAAAAACCTTTTGGTTTTTGGCCAAAAACTTCTCCGCGATCATGCGCATGGAAAAGACTTGATCTGTACATCCCATTCCCTTTCTAAATCCTGCTTGCACATCCCAAATTTTTCTATCAGTTTCTTTCATGACCCTTTCAATCAGTACCTTAGCATACAGTTTTCCCACAATGCTAAGAAGGCTGATGCCACGGTAGTTTTTACAGTCCTGCTGCGACCCTTTTCCCTTATATACTGGGACTATCACGGCTTTGCACCAGTCTACCGGTACCCGCTTCAGTTCCCAGCATAAATTAAACAAGGTGTGCAGCAGGCCTGCCACCACTTCCTCTCCAGCCCTTAGCATTTCGAGTGAAACTCTATCATATCCGGCAGCCTTACCTGCTTTCATGCTTTTCATTGCTTTCATTATTTCACCTACACTAATCTCGCTACCTCTTTCCTCTTCTTTCGGAATTTCTACTTCACTTAGTACACACGTTGTCTCCTCACTCATAAACACGCTTTCAAAATATTCCTTCCATCTCTTTAAACTCAAAACTTCATCATTCAGAATATAGCCATTCTCGTCTCTTATAGCATTCATCATAGGCTGTTTTGAATGTCCCCTGGCAGTTCTTACAAGTTTCCAGAACATTTTAATATTTGCCTGGAAGTTATCCGATATTCTTCTATCATTCTTATCCGTTCTTTCTTGCTTTTTTCTTTCAACTACTTCTTTTACTCTCTTATTAAGATGTCTAAAGACTGCCTTTTTTCTTTCAATATCATCATTCGTACCGCTAGAATTACCAGCCTTTGTTGCTAGTAAATCTAGCCATGCTCTCTTCTTTGCTTCAACTTCCATACGTACCTCATCATCCCACCATAACGTATTATTTTTCCTTTCATTCTTTCTCTTACTAACACCACATACTTCGGTAGCTGCATCCACTAAACCTTTCTTTACATTTTGCCATACATTCTCCAAGTCTAACTCCTTCATACATAATTCATCCAAACCACTTATATTTTCTTTCAGTCTACATTTGAACTTCTTTTTCTCACCTTCATCTTGTAACCTTTCTGTTCTAATACGCTGTAACGCAGTGGTAGACACAGATGACCGATGGCGCCAACGCCTGAATAGACCATTAATTCGGCATAGAACCAAATAATGATCCGTTCCTACGTTAGAACCCCGGTAAACCCTTGTATCTACAACTGCGCCCCTCAATCTTTCATCCACAATTATTAAATCTATCATGCTTCTATCGTCACCTCTTTCCCAAGTATACATGTGAATCCTCTTGTGGCGAAAGCAAGTGTTCGTCACAAAAAGATTCTTTTCCATACATACGGTGAGGAGACTTTCACCATTCTCATTTATACTTTCATCACCAAACGTTCCCAATATCCTTTCATAACCAAGCCTCCTCACCCCAACCCTTCCATTAAAATCTCCTAGCATAATAATATTTTCATTTCCCTTACACTCCATTAACACCATCCTTACCATTTCCCAAAACTGCTCTCGGATATAAGTGGGCTTAGACATGTCTGGGGCGTAGACCCCTAACACAAACAACTTCTTTAAGCCCACTTTCATTCGTATCCACAGCAGTCTTGGGCTTACACATTCATACTCTTTCACACATTGGCCCATTCTTTCTGAAAGGATGATACCTACTCCCTGGCATGCCCGCTCGATCTCGTCTACACCAGACCAGTATGCGGTATACATGCCATGTGTAGTGACATCCTTTCCCTTCCTTTTCGTCTCATTTACACATAACACATCTATTCCTCTATCATTCATCATATCGCATACTTCATCCATTTTATCATTCATTGCCCCACATACATTCAACGTAGCCAGACGGACCTCTGCAATCCACTTTTCGCCTCTCCGGGAGACAGAACGTGACGGGTGGCGAACCTCGTCGCCGGTTTTCCTCCCGGAGATTCTTCGCACCCCTGCCCCATTAAAGGGGCGCCGGGAACTCGGGGCCATTTCTATTATATTGTTCCTCATGGTGCGGACAAAGGGTGGTATATTTTACGCCTCTACCAGGGCGTGGAGCCGAGTCTGTGCTATCGGCTTGTCGCTCATTTAGCACCACCCGGGGGACACGTGTAGGGTGGGCCTAGGAATAGGTGGTCAGAGCCTACGGACGCGAGCGACTTATCCCCCTCCCTCCCTCCCTCAAAATAATATAAAATTTAAATAAACAAGTAAATTAAAAAATATAAAGATTCGATTATTTGAATATTTTTACCGATTATTTACATTAACATGAATTTAAATAATCCAACCATTATGATAAGATGATTAACGACATATCATTAAAACTACGTCATTAATAAAAGTTGATTCTTAATTTTTTTTTTAGTTTTTTAAAGTTAAATGTGAATGTGTGCACACACGCGCGCACACGCGCGCAAACGCGCGCACACGCGCGCATACGCGCGCACACGCACACACGCCGCACGCACGCGCACGCACGCGCACACACGCACACACACACACACACACACACAACACGCACGCACGCACGCACGCACGCACGCACGCACGCACGCACGCACGCACGCACGCACGCACGCACGCACGCACGCACGCACGCACGCACGCACGCACGCACGCACGCACGCACGCACGCACGCACGCACGGCACGCACGCACGCACGCACGCACGCGCGCCACGCACGCACGCACGCACGCAGCAGCACGCACGCCCACGCACGCACGCACGCACGCGCAGCCACACACACACACACACACACACACACACACACACACACACACACAAATGCGCGCGCGCGAACGCGCGTAATCACGCACGCACGCGAGAGCGCACACGTGCACACGCCCAAATTTCTACACGTTAATATTTCTGTTTTATTAATAATTTTTTTGATTTTTGTTAACTTAAAAGTAATATGTACAGTTATTTTTGTGAGAAGACACTGGCTCCTAAGATACTACTGGTTTCACCTACATTAGTAGTCAGGGACTTTAAATTTATTTGTTAATATGTATTAGTGAAATAAAGTATTATTATCATTAGATTTGGATAAGCATATTATCACTTGACAAGGGGGAAACAGAGAAAGGCATTTGTATGGTCTAAACGCCGCCCGAATATCCCCTTAAGTTCAAATATCTTAATAAACCAACCATATTTTCAAATCCGAAGTAATTCTGCAAGTACAAAACATTCCACCACCAGCCTTCTTGACACACCTCCACATTTTTCGTTACAAGCGCTCCCCACATTGGTCCGATAGATACTTTGTCCCAAACGTATGCATAGAATAGCAGCACAGCAAGCAATGCGGGGGTTAACCTGCAAGAAAAGAATATAAGTTTATAGTTATTTATTATTTACAATTTTTTTTTCAATTCCACACTTGATAGAGATGAAGCTTGCAGTGAAGATTCAGCAGAAACCATTGAAATTTACTTGGAAATTTAATGCTGACTCGTTGCTTAAATCCTCATTTCGTAGCCAAACCGGTTCTTAATAAAATCACTTACAATTACCGTTACAACAAGTTAACGGTTAAAATCAATAAATATAAAAAATAATCTATATTTAGTCAAGTAATAGAAATAATATGTTGCTAACCTTTTGCTACAACAGACAAAATTAGAGAATTAAAGAACTATGGTGTCTTCTAATGTATGTAACGTCAAGTTAGTATACTGTGAAGTAGTTCCATTTTAGTTTGCTGAACTGGTTACTGTTTAAAACGGAACGCAACCCAGTAAACTGTCATCCCCATTTTTCGACATTGTTTGCAAATGAAAATATTTATCACGTACACGTTTTCTGTTCAAGAAAAATTATTATTTAAATGTTGTTGCTTTTGAAACTTAATGTCGAAGTTTATTTGAATAACAATATTAATTAATAATAATAATGACAATCATTCGTGGAAGCTGTTAAATCTCTAGGCGCAGTTATGTTTGTGATCACGAAGTACAACTTTAAAAAGGCGATTTATGAGGTCATATATTTCCCTATAATACTGCAGCAGTATACTGGCATTCCATAACGGAACGAATATTTCACCAATGAGAGCACTGAGCAGTGCTCGCAGTGTATATCGGAACACGTCCCGAATGTTACCTGTCAATGTTAATCCTACTGCAAGGCATTGTTTTATAGACAAAATGCAGTCATAGATTTTGTTTCTGGTCAGAAATTATATGAAATCAAAACAAAATAGAAACTCAACTAGATTTGATAGCGAGTATAGCTAACTATCAATGTACCAGCTACCGTAATACGCGGTCTTTATAAACAATATACAGTCATAGTGCTTTTGCTGGTCAGAAATCACATTAGATGTTCAGAAAGACCGTAACGAAATGGGAAAAAAATCGATTGGAGCTGGCAATCAGTAGCTAAACTATCAGTGTCCAGACTGCTGTTATCTGTAACACGCTGTTTTTATAGGCAAGCTGCAGTCGTAGATTTTGTTCTGGTCAGAAATTAAGTATATCAGGAATGCTCAGACTCACTACTGTGTTCTGGTATAAATGATGTAACAAGCTAGCATAATTTCGGTTTACGAGGCGTTCCATTATTGTCCTCAGAATCTCAGTAACCTTATTTGCTTGTAGTTGGCGACGAGTGTACATTTATACGTGGTAGAGCCACGCTGCAGCTATATTATAGTTGCAGCACGAATGGATCGGCTCGACCGGGTAAGGACCACGCTCTCACAGAATACTAGCGTAAAATAGCAGCTTAATACTGCTGTGTTTCGTATGGTGAGTGTAGAGATCAAGACACTCTTTTTTAATGGAAACGAGGCATTCCGTCTTAGTCCTCAGCGTTGACAACGCATTTGCGTTTTGATTCTTAATCGAGGATAAATGTAGATATCTATGAGCCTCAGCATCCACTTACCATCAGGTGAACTGTGTGCTCTTTGTCATCCTTATTCTACAAAAAAAAATTGACTGCAGTGCCAGTATGTGGACTGTTAGTATCACTTCAATTTTTTAAACAATTTAAAAAATCTTAAGATTTTTGGTAACAACAATCCTGATTATTTTTCGTATTATGATATTGTTTATGCGTAAATTTAGTAAATTAATTGACTTAATTAAAATACGTAATAGTACAGTTGCTCGTAAGGAAATTTTTGCCATATTTGCCAGGAATGACAACTGAGAATAGAAGGTAAAAAAAATTTCTCGAATAGCAGTCTCGTACTTCGTACTTATGCACGAAATTCTTAATTTTTAATTTATATACGTTTTGATCCTCCTTCTTCTATTAAACACTCACTTAAAGGCTCTCTAGTTTATGCTTATATCAAAGTATGTTAGCTTAACTTTTACTCGTCCTTGTTACTTTTGTCCGCCTTAAATTTTTCAATGATGCCTTTACCCATAATATTATATACATAACTAATATATACATAACTGGCATTTCTTAACACATATTATCTTAATATATCAGATGTTATATACAATAAGTGCATTTATGTTAAGTATTTAAAAGTATACGTAATTTCTTTATTAATTTATTTACAACGCAACCTTTTTTGTAAATTCATTGATCCCCTGGCCACTGGTCTAGCGTAACTATGTTTCAAGAACTAGTCCACTTAAAGATAGCCTAGTCAAAAGGTCAATCACTATATAATAATTTAAACGATTTGAAATATAAATTAGAAAATTGAAATATAAATGCGTCTCTTTTGTGTGCGTGTGTGCGTGTGCGTGTGTGTGTGTGTGTGTGTGTGTGTGTGTGGTGTGTGTGTGTGTGTGCACGGCGTGCGTGCGTGCGTGCGTGCGTGCGTGCGTGCGTGCGTGCGTGCGTGCGTCCGCGTGCGTGCGTGCGTGCGTGCGTGCGTGCGTGCGTGCGTGCGTGCGTGCGTGCGTGCGTGCGTGCGTGCGTGCGTGCGTGCGTGCGTGCGTGCGTGCGTGCGTGCGTGCGTGCGTGTGTGTGCGTGTGTGTGTGTGTGTGTGTGTGTGTGTGTGTGTGCGCGTGTGTGTGTGTGTGTGTGTGTGTGTGTGTGTGTGTGTGTGTGTGTGTGTGTGTGTGTGTGTGTGTGTGTGTATGTGTGTGTGTGTTGGTGGGTTAGGGTGTGTGTGAATGTAACGCTAACGCTTTTAATGTGATCATCACACACTAAGGATAATTGTCCGAGTCAATAAATTAACGGGTGTATAGAGTACAGAGAAACTCGAAGATAAATGCTATTCGAAAGTTATTACCAAATCAAGTTAATGTAAATTCAAATTATTATGTGAACTATTGATGGATCAAATAATATCATGCTTTAACTGCCTCCTTGGTCTAGTGGTCGTAAGTGCGACTACTGATCATAAGATCCCAAGTTCAAATACCGAGTCAGGCCGAAAATCTGTTTAGAATTAAATGTTTGAAATTTTTTTTACAATTACTTTGCCCTTTGACTTTAAGCCCGTGACCCTGCGAAGTGACAAGGCCAAAGATGCCTAATAAATTTATTGCTTTTTTGCCATTCGTAAATTAGGGTGGATATGATTTGAATTTCGATAGATTTTAATTAATTAATTATATAATTTAATTCAAAATTTTTGTTTTGTTTTTCTCTAAAATATCAGCACCATAGGCTTCTACTCCGTTCACATGTTACACCCTATTTTTTTCTAGGCAGTTAAAAAGTTCATCCAGCATAGTGGAAAACAATTCGTCGTAATATATCAGATGTAAATACCCAGACCAATGACGAGAAGCAGCTTAAAAGATACTAAGTGTTTTCTATGTAGAAGTAAGGTTGATAAATGAGCCCACAGTCCATTTGATGGTAAATGCATTCTGTGATCCACAGACACCCACACATCTATTACCAATTTATTAAACAAAATGCAAATTCTTCAATCGTCACTCCGGCTAAGTTGGCTAAGATGAAATGCCTCGATACTAGTAAAAAGACTCCCGCGTCGTCAGTCATTATACGAAATCGTCATCATCATCATCATCACAGTCTGTCAAAGTCCATTGCTTAACGTAGCTCTCCCACATATACTGGATCGTGGGTAAGATATTTGCTATAATTTATGAAATCCCATTGCGTTAGGCTGTTCGTTAGTGTGCTCAGAGAAGAGTAGATATATATATATAATAATAATAATAATAACATAATAATCCTTTATTGCAGACACAGAGATCCATATTTACAAGAAAATATAATATAGCATATATATAATATATAGTATAGCAAGAATAGACATGTTGCAATATTTCCAAAAGTCTATCGTCACTCAGCAACTTTCACCCAGCATCTGTACATTGCAGTCTGTATCAGCCTATCTGCCAAACTACGCACAATAGAGTTGCTACACAAGTCAACTCTGGACATAAATGATGCTATCCTCTTTCGATGGATTGCATTAAAAGAGTCAACCCGGTTTTTCACGTAGATTTCAGAGGTTTTCACGTACATTTTTTAACATATAGAATCTTATTATTAGATCTGTAATTTGTCGGATTACAAGGTACTCTTCCATAAAAAATTCTGGAGTCTCAGGCATTACTCTATAATCCGACAAATTCGATAGTCTGACACTGCACTGCAAAATTATTGTCGGATTACCAGGGATCTACTGTAAAACCTAAATATAACTCTTGTTTGAAACAAATGATACATTTTTGTCATAGTTATGCGCCTGATTGTATTTAATAGCACAGCTAGCCATTGCCGCCGTTGGTTTTAATAATATAAAAAGATAACAGATGCACCTAATATTATAATATACAACCACAAAAATATTACGCATGCGAACTTAAGATAATAAATAAAGATTTAATGCAAAGTTCTTTTTTGTTTATTTACTCATGAAACAACTAAGTTATATTTGTTTAATTATTGAAATAAATTAGAGTAAAAAATATTACACTAGTGCCTGGTAATTAAAGGTCAACACAGGATGCATATTTTAACAATGGTAATATTACACTGGAGAATAAAAAAGAGAATTAAAAAGAAACACTGCATACTTATTAGCGGACTAGCTGTTCCCGCGTGGTTATTAACACATAATATTTTTCTTCGACTGTTTTACAGCTGATTAACTTCGTAATTTAATCGGTTTAAAACTTTATGCCTTTGGTACAAATTTATATAATTTTTTTTATTAGTAACGCTACTGCTTCAGATCAAATAATATTACAATATAAATTATATACCTATAGTAACGGGCCAGGCCATAGAATACTATAATACATAATAATATTATAGTAGTACCTATTCCACGGGCCAGGTAGACGTTCTGTCTGTTCCGACGACTCAGTGTCCTCTAAAAAATCGTTTAAGGTGTATGTAATAAAAATATTAAGTATTCCAAAAAGGTAACGTAAAAAACGATTTATTTACTTTATCACATAAAATAATATCATGTAAAATACGGTTATTTTTCAAATGGAAGTCAAAATATAAACATAAGTTCAAATATTATATCAATGACGATATAACGTTACTGTATTTTATTTCACTTTTATTTAAAATTATTCCAAATTGAATGTGACTTTTTTATAGGATAGGGTCAAACGAGCACACAGTCGACCTGATGGTAAGTGGTTGCAGTGGTCCACAGATATCTATGATATCTATCTACAACCAAAGATTTAAATATTTAGGTGCGCCTTTGATAGTGTGACCGCTCCGAAATGTGTCTATTCTCAAATGAGTGAGCTCACTCATTCGCAATCAGTGCTCATTTGTGCGACAAAGAAAGTAGTATACACAATTTATGTAAGATATGAGATGACACTATTGCATTAGTGTTCGCGCGTCAGTGTCTTTTAAACGAACACATCAAAAAATAATGCCACAGTTTTCAAGGTGAAGGCGCATCTAACTATTTAAATCTTTGTCTACAACTATACTTCTAATATAACTGCAGCATGGCTCTACCACGTATAGTGGATACGTGATTTATGGGCAACGTTTTTGCCTACGGATCGACCCTTACAAATGTGTGCGTGAGCGTTAAAATCAGTTAAATAATACTTTACCATGCATTTTGATTTAAAACATAAAAAGGACAGACTTTTTGACATTTTTTGAAATTAATTTTTTAATTATAATTTATCTTCATCATTTGCTTATAACACTTATTCTAAACCTTCTCTGTAAATTTGGCCGGTTATTTCAAAATAACCATTTATAGTAACTTAGTTCTGTATCACTACCTACCTAAGCTAATTATGTTTCTGTATGTCATAATTGAAAATCATAATAATAAAGTTAAAACATTATAGCGATAAACATAATTAGCAACTAAAAAAATGATGGTTTAATACGTTTTAATACATTGCCATTGCAACTAACTTCGCTATCTACCGTAGTGGCAAACTAGTTCGTCACTAGATTTTTTTTTAGTTTAGTTTTCCATATTAAATCTTAGAAGATAATCTATCTTGCATCTTTTGAAGTATATTTTTATTATAAAATTAATTTATAAACATACTAACAATTGACATGATGGTAAGTGGCTACTTTATGCAGTAGCAGTTCATAGACATCGGCAACCAATTTAAATTTTAATGCTACAAATGCGTTGTGACCACTGAGGACTAAAATTTAATACCTCACAATGTAACCAATGTAATTACGTCGGCTCTGTAAACTCTTTAGATCTAGAACAAAAAAGCACACACTAGTGCTTGAACGAAAAGTAAGTAAAAGGTCTATTTATTTGTTCTTTGGTACCAACCTTTTCTTTTTTTTTAGCATGGGGAAATGCCTACGCATAGCCGCCTTGCGGGGGCAAGGACGGGTTATGTCGGACTCGCACCGACTAAAACCCCATGGTGTTCCACCTTCGTCGCATATTGGCAGGGCCACGGGAATACTTTCGCACACATCCGCGGTCGCACCAGCGCCGGCCGCCCCATGGCGACGCCTCCTCGGAAGAGGACTACTTCTCCCCTTTCACCTTCTCAAGAAAGACGCACCAAAACACATGGCGGCCTTCCTCTACGGCCTCCAACTACACCCGCGCAACGGACGTCCCCGTGTCCTATGCGCGAAGGCCATGGGGCCAGGAAAAACGAGCACTCAAAAGCAAAAGCCTTCCTGACCCCAGCGGTGGATCTGGTCTGTCTCCGCCACCAACTAAGATTCGGCTGCGGAGGTAAGGGAGAGCGGTGCGTCGCAATACCGACAGTCCTCTCTCCCCGCAGCCTCACCACCACCGCATCAACGGTGCGGCCCCGTTTAAGTCGCGGAGTAGAGGGCGAGTGGCGCACCGCCATACCAACTCTCCTCTTCCTCCGCGACTCCACCTCGGCTGCAGCGGTAGGGGGAGAAGACAACCCTCTCGCCGCAGCCCACCAGCACACATCCGAAGTAGGCTTGCCAATCCCACTCGGAGTGGCCACTTCGGGCCGGCCCTTCACCTCGGGCCAGCCAAGTATGTTCCTCTTTGTTCACCGCGGGTCACCAAGGCACGGCTACTAAGCCCCGCAGCCACGACAAGGCGGGAACCCGATCGAGACCCGGAAGAAAATAAGTTATAAACTATGTTATATATTAACATTGTATATTATATTGTATTTATGTAAGGCGTGAAAAAAAAACTTAAAAAATGTTTGTAACCGATACGATCTGGGAACCTTCAAGAAAAGAGCTTATTCCTTTCTAAAGGGCCGGCAACGCACCTGCAATTCCCCTGGTGTTGCGGTTGTTCATGGGCTGCGGTAGTCACTTAACATCAGGTGAACCGTATGCTCATTTGCCCCCTCTTCTATAAAAAAAAAATATTTAAGGCCTGTTCATACAAGGTATTCTATCATTGCGTTTAAGCAATGCAACACCCTCCATAGTTTTAACACTCTTTCGAGTTACGATGTACGTATAAGAACTAACATTGTTCTTTTTGAACTGACTTAAAATTTTAAGTCCTTAACTTTGTAAAAATATTATTATTAGCTATTTTTCTTTAACTTTCAAAATGAAGAAGAATTGAAAATATATAAAGAAGAATATGAAAAACGTAATAGACCAAATACATACAAAAGTATTACCTAAGATATCTGGAGAAGATCCTTTTAAATGCTCCGGAATCGTTGTCACTTGATATTCGATGCGCCGTGAGTGTCCCGCTAAGAAGTAAAAAACAGTCAGTGAATATCCAGCCCGCGCGGCACCATGACCATAGTGGTGAGCTCACAACCTGCACACAAAAAGTAACTTTACTATTGGTTACTTACTATATAAATTCATGCATGGCTACAAAACTAGCAGATAGTTAGTGCTGATCTAACTCTAGTTTATTTGATGGTAGCGTAAATACACCTACCATCCTGTTTCAGCAGGCCTATGTCCAGCGGTGGACCTAAATTATATTGACAAAATATACAGGCAAATTACAGGTAAATTAATTAATGACTTCCGAATTAAATAATCGTTTATTGTAAGCTTTTCACTGAGAAAATCATCTTCATTATTATTATTTTCAAAGTCTATTGATAAAGCTACACCTACCACATAGACTGCCTCATAGGGTATCAGCATACCCTACCGTGTGATGGCGTGTAGTAACGATTTCAGAATATTCACTACCTAATATAATCCCGTGGGTGTCGTAAGAGGCGATAGAGGAAAACGAAGCAGGAAATAGGCGTCTTCCTACTTACGACTACATATAAAAATAAAACTGCGGTTGCTAATCTCATTTGTCCTAATATATATATATATATATATATATATATATATATATATAATAACGTATATAGGCTGTAACTTTATTTTACTTTAACATAACATAAACACTCACGCCTGTCACCCAGAGGGGTAGGCAGAGACTACAGACTTCCATTTGGCACGATCCTGACATACCTCTTTCGCTTCTATGAAATGAAATTGTTAATTGCAATTTTAAGTGCTGATTTACCACGTGTTCAGCGATGAAGGACAACATCGCGAGGAAATCTGCATGTCTGAGAAATAAGAAAAGTAAAGTAAAGTAAAGTTACAGCCTATATGTCTTCGAAATATTGTTTCTGTTATTCCTCAGACATTCAGGTTTCCTCACGATGATTTCCTTCACCGCCAAGCACGTGGTAAATCAGCACTTAAAATTGCAATTAAAAATTTCATTGGTGCCGGCGGGAATCGAACCCAGGTTACTCGCGTTCTGTTATATTTACAGCGAGCGTTAACCATCTGAGCTACCACGGCTCTCTCTTCTTTTTTTCCGTGATCAGAAATAAGAAAAACAAATTTGAAGACATGTGAAGTTCGCCAACTCGTCTTGGGGCAGCGCGGCGGACTCTTCCTTGCCCTAAAACCCTCTCATAAATGAGAGGAGGCCTGTGGCATCTATATAGGCTGTAATTGTAACTTTTACATTTTTAAATTTTTACAATACCATAAAAACTATTTAATTTTTGGAAGCCGCCAAAAATGATTTTTTATGATTTTCTTGCATGTGATACTTGTGGTAGGTCTCTTTTCAAACTCCAGCAATAATCTGCTATCATATGCACATCCCATCTGCCCTTATATGGTTCCTATATGGTGCGAATTTTTTGATGGAATCTTTCTCTTTGTTCATCACTAAAGTGCCCAAGATTTTCAGGAAAGTGGTCCAGATGGGAGTGTAAATAATGAAGTTTTACGCTCATGTTGCAACCAAGATTCTTCAGACATACCAACATATGTTGGACCAAGTGTTGGTAGTTTGGTGCTTTAGTTTCTGAGTCCCAAAAAAGTTTTTCATTACTCGCACAAATGATTTCCATGCTATTGACTCTTTTTCATTCATTGTTTTAACAAAATTTTCATCATTACCTAGCCGACGTATTTATGGTCCATCAAATATTCCAGCTTTTTTTATTTTTTCGTAGTTAGGCTAGTAAATTTCTGTGCAACATACTCAAAACAGTCGCCATTTGTATCAAGTGCCTTGACAAACTGCTTCATTATACCAAGTTTCTCAAGATATCGAATGTAAAACTGGTTGTATAGGCTTTTAAACTAGAATGGGTACCAAAGTTGGTCGTTTAGCAGACGGTAAATCATGACAAATCTATTTATTGCGGTTATTTGAATTAATACCGTTTACATTAACGACGCAAAAGCAATTATCATGGGGATTTTTCGGTTCTCGTCAGATCATGGGGGTTGTGAACTTCAAGGAACTTCTTTTTCCACTTAACCATTGTTGCAAACTAACATCACAATTTTTACAAACCATTTTAGCCACCCACGGCTTGCCCAAATTACACACTTGTACTTTAAAATAGTCGGTATACGCGATTTTTACGAAATCTGTCACCAATTTTCTATAATTTTTAAAAACATATTCACCACAAATAAAGCAAAAACACTCCGAATCGTTTAAACAACGTCTCCTTGATGTAGACATTGCTAAAATTTTATCTTAACTGATATCAACACTGTGTTAAATTCGTAAATGCGCGCCTACCCTCGCATAAAATACTAAAAGCTGTGTACGAAAAACAAAAGCTGATGGATAGAAACGGCTGGTAGATTTTAATCAACTGTATCAAAATATGAAAGAAAAGTGAAAAAAACTTCCGGAAAAATTTAATAAGTAAAATTTTGTAACTATGTAAACTCATGCGAATGAGGTGATCGCTGTATACCAATATATTAATTTTGTTGACATATACAAGAGTAGTTATAGTTTTTGATCTACTGTCGCGGTTATTACTTGATTGTATTCATATATTTGACAAAATAAAATAAAAAAAAAGTATTATTCAGATTTTGTTGTACTTACATTTTTAACCGAATGCCACGCCTATTTTTAGTCATGTATAAATTGGTTGCACCTAAGTTTAAACAACTGCTATCGGTTGCGTTAAATTATTATAGTAATATTGTCGAGCGTCCTGTGTACAGTCCTTTTTCTTTGTTTCTAAACTTAATATGTAACTTGTATTTCTCATATTGACTGAATTTTACTCTTTTGGGAAATAAATGTCAAATGGCGTATACACTTTGATTTTTAGCCTAGATATGGCCTCTTGAGATTTTTTTTACCTTTTTTTCAATAAGGATTATAAATAATACTTATTGAAAGTCACTTTTTTCATTTAACAAAATTTAACAACAATAAAAGTATAACATAACAAACGTTATGCTTAATTAATTTATCGATCCCAATTTCAAAACTCTAAAAGGCTGAAAGGTTAATTATTCAAACTACCTCAACTAAGTCCAATAGCGTAACGTAATTAACCCTTTTGTAATTTCATCCGTCCGCAATTATAACTCTGAAATACGATTTATTTTTCCATCTCAAACAGAAAATATTTACCATGTTTAAATGAACTTGTTTTCCAAAAAAGCTATAAAGTTACACTACAAGGTTTGGGGGGTTTGGGGCCACATGTGTCTGTTTCATCATCATCATCATTACAGCTTATGAAAAGTCTACTGCGGAACAAAGACCTCTCTGATAGATTGCTTGTTAGGGTATTGCTTAATATGCTATAGTTACCACGCTTGGCAGACGGGTTGGATATCACAGTTTTTATTATTTTTAGATGTTATCAAAAAGAAACTGCTGCCCATATCTTGTTTTATTTCGGGCTTTAATTTAGAAACATCAATACTATTCCGTGCCCAAATTAGCAAAATTGGATCACTTGTAGAGACATCCCGCTTTCTGTATCTATGATCGACGTCAGTTATCGAAATTTAGCAATATGCTGCAAAAACACATAACTTAGTTTATCAGCATTGCATTAATATCATACGTCAAACGACACCTTATTTATATCGGGCTTATCATCTGATCTGTCTTTATAAAGGCTAAATTGCCCTGGAATCACAAATGCGTTATTTACAGAATATTCATAATTAAACTTGACATGGTTTTAACAAAATGATGTTGGATTGAATAGTCTTTGTTAATACACGGCATAGTGTTTGTATGCGTTATTTGATTCGTCTTAAAAGGCGACGCCGCTTGTCTAGCGTCAATGCGTCAATACTCCAAATATTTGGCCTGTTGACAAAAAATGGGGGAAGCCTATGGTCAGCAGTCAACAGCCTTATTAAATGTTAAAACTAGTAGCCTTTATACATCTAACTGGGCACAGGGTGCAGCAAGTCTTAGGACAAAATATATTTGATTGAGTTGAATCCAACGCGAGATGATCGACTTCACATAACCTAAAAATGTAAAAAGTTAAAATTACAGCCTATATAGATGCCACAGGCCTCCTCTCATTTATGAGAGGGTTTTAGGGCAAGGAAGAGTCCGCCGCGCTACTCCAAGGCGAGTTGGCGAACTTCTCATGTCTTCAAATTTGTTTTTCTTATTTCTGATCTCGGAAAAAAAGAAGAGAGAGCCGTGGTAGCTCACATGGTCAACGCTCGCTGCAAATATAACAGAACGCGAGTAACCTGGGTTCGATTAACGCCGGCACCAATGAAATTTTTAATTGCAATTTTAAGTGCTGATTTACCACCTGCTCGGGGGTGAAGGAAATCATCGTGAGGAAACCTGCACGTCTGAGGAATAAGAAAAAAAATATTTCGAAGACATGTGAAATTCGCCAACACGCATTGGGGCAGCGCGGCGGAAACTTCGCCTGTGCCAAGCAGTGGGACGTATATAGGCTGTAACTTTACTTTACTTTACTTTTCTTATTTCTCAGACATGCAGATTTCCTCGCGATGTTTTCCTTCATCGCTGAGCGCGTGGTAAATCAGCACTTATAATTGCAATTAACAATTTCATTGGTGTCGGCGGGAATCGAACCCGGGTTGCTCGCGTACTGTGAAATTTACAGTAAGCGCTAACCATCTGAGCTACCATGGCTCGTATATACTAATACTACTTACCCAAAATAATACAATATACCTAAAAATGATTTCTGAAATATTTTTTTAACTTCTCAGATATGCGAGAAAGTGGTAAATCGAAACTTCAAATTGTAATTAAAATATGAGTGATGTCAGCGCGGATCGAATTTGGGTTGCTTAATAATACGTACCATGTGATATTTACTTTTACAGATGACTATCAAAATTCTATTTATGCAGCCCTACTCAAAGTTAAAATAGAAATAAACCTGTGTTTAAAATTTGCTTCCTTTAATATTTATAGTACTGCATTAACTAATGTCAGCCATGAAACCAGTATGAAACAAAAAAAATAGGTAAGTTTTGACGTGGTAGGGCCATGCTGCAGTT